GAAATTTGGAGTCCTCAGTTCCTTGTTTCAATTAAAATTACACTGCTTATGTATGAATTCCAGTATAAATATATAATTATGCATACCTACTTTTTTTATATTTCTTTAATAATGTTAAGAAAATAATCTGTATTTACAGAATCTAAAGGTGATTAAGATTTTTCAAAACTATAAGTTTTCAGCTTGCAAGCCTGATTTCTCCGAAGCCTTTGGTCAAAATTTCAGAAACTTTAGACCAATAGTATACACCTTACATGAGTATAAAATGGCCACGTAATTATGTTTTTCTCATTAAAACATTATAAATTATATTTATATTAAAATATAGTCGATTTTTGGTTTCCAAAATTTACAATGCTATATAAGAAAACATAATTCTATTATTTTTAAAGAAAGCATTTAAATTTGATATTATTTTCTACCTTGAAAACAAATGGTGCAATGTAACGATTCTTTTCTCTGTAACGCTACGTGCAGTACATATTACAACTTTCTATCGATGAGAAGAACGCATTTTATTGTTATTTTATTAAAAATATATTAACATCTGGACCATAAAATAGAAGCAGAAAACGCAGTGTACAAAATCTCACAGTTATAAATTAGTCCTTAAGGTATTGAGCTTTAAAATACGTTTTACATATTTTGACATTTTAAATCTACCTGAACCCTTATATGTTGATTACAACTAAAGCCCGTGCAAAAATTAACATTTGTATGAAGAAAGAAATTCAAGTTAATTTCAAGTCTACACAGTATAACTTTTTGAAATACTTATTGAATAAGTGTTTATGTTAAAAACACATATATGTATATTAAAATTATTTTGAAAAATAGCAACAAGAGTAAATAAAATGCGCACTAAAAACAAGATAAGCTATACTATTAAAAACATTCTTATCACAATTTTACGAAACGATCACTTTTTGCAGATGTACACGATTATAAAAAATTATAAAATCCTGTATAATTATATTCACTTTTTAAGTTGAAATATTTTAATTCCAAGAATTTAACTCACATTTTTTTTTCTGATTTTAAAGACTGCAGTGAGCACCTACAATGTTTTACATTCTATCGCTAATAATTTCCATATTAATCTACAACAAGTATTGATATACAATTTAGAGTCCCTACAGATAAACATCTATATTTTCGGTCATAAATAGTTTGTATTTTATGGTATATCAAAATTTTCATAATTTTTACATTCGAAATATTTTACTAAGCTTATTGTTTTATATGGAATGCACATCGGCTGACTGAAACGTTTTGAGACGATTTTTTTTTATTCAAAACCAAATTACTGTATTGGCCTTGTATTTTTTGTTAATTTCAGCACTTTGCTTTGTAGATAGTACATGCATTTTACAATCTGAGTCTTTAGCAATTCCTTACACTTTTCACAGCATTTTGTAAGGGATTTAGAAACAGCGAATTGTAGTATTTGGTGACGTTCTCTTTAGCACAAGGGAATTTTTCATTTCTTCGAAAAAGAGTCCCTTCTAACGTAGTTGGCTTTCCAATGCTGAAGAAAGCCCTTTCCTTAGGTGTTTGGGCACTCGGGCAATAATCACAGTGAATAAACTATCGTATCGTACTTTGTCGATCACTCGTGTCTTACCACCTAGAAGTACCTTCGAAATAATGAAAGTAAGGTTAAATCTTTCCTCACCATGCACATAATGTAACTTTTCCCAGTGTTTTGTTACTTCTAATTCCAAGTTTAACACAAATTCAATCGCATCTGTGTAGTATATATTTATACAGATATCTTCTTCACCTGCTTTCCAAGTCTAATTATCTAGAAATATAAATAGATGCAGTCTTAAAACGTTCCCGCTAGCTTTTGCATTTCATAACTTGTAATCACAATGAGATAGGAACAGATATTAAATTTCATAACAGATAGATAGTATAGTAACAAGAAATGTAGATATGAGAATAATAAATAGTACATATATACAGCTTTCCTCACATCATATATCATGCCAAATTGTCCAAGTATATGACAGCAGTAGATTATTTATTTCAGTTTACAAATATTTAGAAAAATGAATGCTCTAACTGTGAAAAGTAACGAAATGATTGTGACCAAGCTCTGATTATGTGTTGATGTAAACCTTTAACATTCACAGCATTAAAATGATAATTTTGACTGCACGACACTGTTCTGCAGTAAAACGCTTTTTTGAAATTAGTGCTATTCTGCAAATTTTCTACAATCTCAGATAACTAATTTTATTTTGAAATGCATCTGTTAATTACCTTACCACCCACGAATTTTGAAATTAAATTATGATCAAATGGTCTTTCTAATCAAAGAACACTATTACTGAAACAACCAGTTTTATCTAATTTATTTTATGCCCATTATAAATCAACTATTTTAATTAATTATACAATATCGAATTAAAAAAAGAAATTATAACTCAATATCAAATAAAAAAGAAAGGTTTAATAAATAATGAGTAAAATATTATTACTATCATGTCTTAAGATTAATGACTGAATCTCATTGTTAGTAACAGTTAACTCCAGTTAGGGAAACTGTATTAACGAAAACGGTATAATCAGGCCAGGTACCACTGTATCATAAAAATGGCTCAACCGTAAGTACTGTATCAGGGTTCGTACACATTTCTGCACACGGAAATTAAGTACTTTTAAGGACCATTCATGAAAAAATTAACGACCTATAAGAAAATGCAAACTGGATAAATTCAATTAAAAATATTATGTATGCTGAACTTCATTTTTGTAATACCACCCTAAAAATAAAATAGATCCATAAGTAGGATGCATTAGTATTAAATATAATTATTAGTAAGTTTGAGAATAAATAAAGTTTATGAAATTATCATTAAAATTTTACACTCATACTACTGGCTATTTGAAAGAAATAAGTGACATTTTATTTAGGTTTTATTAATAGTTAGCTTTGATTTTTTTAATGTCTCATTTTGTCACATACTTGCTCACTCTATGAGTTAGTAATAGTAAGTAGATTTATGTCAAGTGGCATAGGTTAAGGAGAAGTAAAATCACAATCAGCATGATTTAAAAAAAGACTGGCTGTTGTCGCCGCTCCTGTTTGCCTAGGAGAGACTGATGACAGAACAAAACCTTAGGCCTGATGTAAGCACGGTCGCAATTTGAAAGTTAGCTGAGGTCTGTTTGACGCAGTTAATTTCGTAGCTTCTTGTAGAGTTCCAGGGATGTAACTCAGTTAATATAGTTTAAGGGCCCTAAAATCCACTAAGCACCAGAGATGACAAGTTGTTTGCATTATTTTGTCTCACTAGCTGCGAAGAATAGGTTTTACATGAATTTTTACATTTTTTGGGTTTTCTTTGACCACGATAAGGTTAATGAAAGGCAATAACTCGCTTTAAAATGCAGAAATAATCTTTAAAGGTAATCCGTTAGTTAAGTAATTAAATTGTGTATTAGATAACCTTAGTCATTATGGATTTACATGGCCACTATTAAATTTTATTTATTTTTTAACAATATTTGTTAAAAAAAGTCTTAACCCAAAAGTCACAATCTAATAAAATTTCACAGTTTAAAATACATGTAATTTATGGCATTGATTCTTAAACGATATTAGGATACGTACACGTTAAAAGCTACAAAATATAAATATTTTGTAGCTTTTGTAGCAACACTCAACAAGATATTTATGCGTCTTTTTAATTTGAAGCCTTCCCAGACATTTTGGCTAATTTATATCAATTTCCTTCTCTTTAAACATCTTTTCTAATAGTTAGAACTTTGTCTCAATACACAAGACAGTGTTCTCACTAGTTTCTACGTTTTGTATCTTCTAACCTGTCAACCTCTCCACAATGTACCTAAGAGGGTTTACTTGATCTGGTAAAAGTTGAATAGTCCAAATCCTTCCGGACAGATGTGAAGCAAATTATCGCTATATCTGAAAGCAACTACAAAGATTTAAATAAGCTTCTTATTTAAAAAGAAGAACATAAAGCATGTTCTTATGCTAAAAAAAATCAATTACAGCTCATGTTGATGTAATTAAACAAGAAGAATGAAATGCAAACTAAAAATATGGACTAGTCATCAAAGACTATACAATTTCATTTTAAGCTGACTCAGTAACTCTATTGTCATAAATTCAAATGTCGGAAGCAGTAATGTAAAGACGAATAATTGCAAATTATCAGGGCTGGCAGGAACTAATGCAGGGAGCAAGCGGAGGTCAGAAACACATTCTTGTCTTACACTCCAAAAACCTCAGTTTAAAAACTGTTTAAGTGATTTGCATTCTGGTGAGAAAATAGAAATGGGAAGGTTTTTGGATTTAATTAAATAGTTATGTTATTCTAAAAATGCTAAATGCAGTTAGAATGTATAGAGAAAGCTGCTAATTTTATAGTAATAGGAACATTCGGAAGAAATATGCAATATATATGGTAAGGACCGGTTACAGAGCTGGTGTGGCAGAATTTTTTTAATTTATTCACACATCGAGCAACAAAATCTAGAAATGTCAAAACTTTTAGAATTTAGAACAGGCATTGGAAGTAAAATCTTCAAATTGCACCAAGCAGCACAATTTAGTGTGTATGATGCATTATGACATATTAGATGAATCGTTTAAATTGTCAGTTTTCAATTTCTTTATTAATAAAAAAGTTATTTTCTATAATGCCTGTTTATATGATAAGATTAGAAGCATTTTTGATATTTTGTGCTTCTGTCTAGTGAAAAATAAAGAAAATGTTAAGAAAAAGGTTCTAGTATCAGAACTAAAACAATCAACTATTATATTTTTATTGCTCTTCCAGATGTTCTCCAAGTAAGAAATTATGTATTAATACCATGCAGACATTTTTCATTTTGCCACATTTTTCTGGAATCTTCCAGAATAGTGGGTCTATAAATCTTGCCTTCAAATCTTTCTAAACTTTCCAAGCTGCAATGTCTAAAATCCTAAAGAAAAATTACCCCTGCCCTTTTAATGAAACTTATCAATGTTACAATGTTTTAAAAAATCGTCGAAAAAATTCCCAGATCTCGGAATTAAATATTTTCTATAGAAACTGATCTTAAAATCCACCCTTTATATTAGAAATAGGAACAAATTATAACCCATGAAAGCATTCACCCATTCAAAAAATAACGATATTTGTCAGAGAATTACCAAAAATATATCTCCAAAATGCTAATTCACACTCAAAATGGCAGTCGTAAAAACAGTCAGAAATTTCAGATGATTAAAATTTAAGGACCTTCTGACGATTTTGGCCGAAATTAAGGACTTTTTAAGGACCAAAAATCGATTCCAAAAAACTTAAGGACTTTTAAGGACTCTGAAGAACCGTACGAATCCTGTGTATGTGGTGAGAAATTTATGGCACGTGAAGGCTCAGCAGACCAGATAAATATCTGCTTACTTCATGCAAATTTCTATCACATGCGTTTTGGTAAAACTATAAACAAATTTTTATCCGCTCACAAAATATTGAAGTCTTAACTGTAGAAATACTTTAAGTAAAACAGGAAAAGAACCTGGAATGTACTTCAAATGTACGCAGAAGTTTTGCAAAGTAAATCTGAATGTTAGCTTGAGCAGAAATATTAGAAGAATCCTCAGATAGTACAGAGTTTTAAAGCAATGGTTTTCTTAAACTACAATTTATTCAGTTACATTTGGAATTTTAAATTTTTTAAACTTTTCCAGGTAATCATGGAGATAGGTGTCATCAAGGCATTTGAAATTGAAACGTAATACGGTAGAGATTGGGAATCAAAAATAATGCTTGACTACAGTTAAAATTTTACACTAGAGACCCAATTTTTCATTTTCAAAACAAAACAGTTTTTTCTATTAATTCAATTTATGTAAAATATAGACAAATTTGATTAATTAAATTTTAAAATTTATTTGATATTTATTGACGCACTTTCCACTGCCTCAAAATGACTAAATACTAATTTTAAGTAACATTTTAACTTCGTGTGATTTACTTGATTCACTTAAAATTGATGGCAAAAGGAGAAAAATTTTGATTCTGTAATACAAAATATATATGAATCACTCTAAAAATTTATAACAAAATATAAACGTTTAAATGCAGAACAGTGCAATTAGCAGTCCTATTTATGAAGAACCACATCAGAATGTATAACTTTGAGTGGAGGTAGAATGTGATGCTACATACTTAGCATGAGTTTATATGAGTATGTTGAATGAATCCCAAATGTTCACAAACACGCATAATTATGCACTAGAACACATTAATTACAAATATAAACTCCTCCACTGAACGACGGAACGAGAATCCTGCACCATTCGTCCCCAGTGGGTAAGAGTTCCATTACTTTTCTCTGTGTAGGGTCCGGCTGTTATACGGCCGAGAGGGAAACTCCTTCCTAGGACTCCCCTAACCATCACTGTCACTACTAAACTTGAGTCCAGAAGAAATTGAGGAGGAACCACAAAATCACTTTTGTGATTATAGAATGGATCTGTAGAGTCCACAACTACTCGAGACCTATTGGTTTTGACCTTCTGTCCACCGCACATTAAAGACACCTTGGCAAAAGTGTCGAATACTTCTGAAATAGAAATAGATATTAATGGTATAGAAATTGTAACAAAAATTCCGATATGTTCTTCATGTCGAAATGCTTAAATTCTCTGAAGCGGAATAATACAGAAGACACCATACATACAAATGCCCTGTTTGTGAAAATTGCAATACCATGAAAGAATCATGCGAATAAAGGGAATAAAAAGCAGGGTATGGTATGCGAATGTTTGGAATATCAGATTCATAATGCATGTGTGGGCTGAGTTGCTTTCAATGAAAGTCCCTGTTAACATTGTAAATAGAAAGCTATAATGGAATGTTAAAAAGTAGTGCTTCATTATCTGTGAGAGGAGAAGTCGGCATACCTCGTCGATCACAAAAAACCAGCTGATGCTTTCTGACGCCTTGTGTGAAAAGAAATATTCTCCTATTGTGAAAATTTAGCTCGTATGGGGCATACTGCTTCACCTGTGATTCGTGTATAGGAGTCGAAAGCTTGTACTAGCCTCAGTTCTGGCAATGGATTACGAAATGTTGCACCCGCATTAGAATAATAGATACATCATCCGCATGGCAGTAAAGGATCGTGAAGTTTCATATGGACAGTTGACACAATGTTAGAATCTGCAACAAGTATGGTCTTGTCAGCTGTAATAGCATACCGGCGTCTGCGTGTATTGCATACATGCATTCCTACGTACAGGATTGCATTCTCGCAAACCATTGTGCGCCTGCATCTACGGTGGGTTCATCAACATTGCCACTGGCGTACGGATTTAGCAGCAGGTCTTCTTTCAAGATGAATTTCGCTTCAATCTGGAATGCAGCGGTGCTCACGAACTTGCTAGATGTTACACAGTCTTCAGAAGTATATTATTCAGTGCCACGGGGCTGGATGATCAAGCATAATGGCCTGCAGTGCCGTAGGGAATAATGGGTGAACTTACGAGCTAAGAATTACATCAAGAACGTTAAGGAGGATGAAGATGTATCATTCTTTCAACATAATTCAGGAGGTGTATTTTAACAAATGCCCTATTATAGGATGCTACAAACATTTAAAATGTCTTATCATATCAGATAGCGCGTCTTCTTATGTTTGCACATTCATCATATATTTGGCCTACTCTAGGATTTCGTAAGGCAGCGTTTTTCTCATGGCACTCGCCCTGCAATCAATAAAGATCAACTTTTGGTCCGGGTAAAATATAATGTGGAATGCGATACCCCAAATACACATTCGAAAACTATGTATTTCACTCAATGTTGAAATGAATTAGAAATCTCATTGCAGTGTACTTGTATTGCTGAGTAAATTTAAGCTTTTTGTTTTCATCAATATTGGCTGCATGACGAATGAATTTCATTAACTTTTAATGATTCCTCCTTCGCAGGTGCTACAATTTTCACAAACAGCAATATAATTTACTTATTTAAAACAAATTCTTCGTTTTGACTATTTCAGTTGACTTATGTAACTATTAACGATTACTAATTTTGTTTTGATCATCACAAATTTATTTTTCGACTAGAATTAGAGTAGTCAAATACTACAAAAGTATATACAAAATTTAGAGAGTCCATTCTAAAACTAATACCGGGACCAAATAACATGCATGAATATAAATAATTATATGAAGTCTTATTTATTATTATTATTAAAACATGTTTAGTTCATATGAAAATGTGGAACTTTTTAACATCCTAGAAGTTAGCATAAGCGACAGAGAATACGAAATTTTGCTTATATCTAAGGCATTCCAAGTACTGTTTTCTGCACAAGCTACAGAGTGGATCAAATTGTTTTGATGCTGCTCTGATAAATTAAATTGCGTTCATGTTGCTATTGATCTTTCTCGATGACTTCGAAACTGTCCTCCAATAAACATTAGGAAAAAAAACCTATTTTTTCATTTGTAAAATGTTTGAAATTTAAAACAATTTTTAAAAAATCCTTCTAAATTAGTTCTTCTTATGCTCACTGCCCCAAAAAAAGGGGGACAGTTCTCTATCTCCCGTTCTACTGGGCCAATTGACGAAATTCAAATTACGTTTTTCATATCTTGAAAGCGCGATTTAGGATGTGTATTAAAGTTATATAGCTTCATCCTAACATAGGTATTTTGACACAAAATCGAACATTTCTGAAATGACATGCCAGTTTTTTCCCATATTTCGATTCGACGACTCAAATTATGCCTAAATATTACATTTTGTAAATTCTGGTGAGAAATTTACGGAGAAATTCAAAAGTTTATCTTGGTGCACTTTTTTTCAGTTTTCATCAAAAATCATTTACTTCGCGAACTTCTTAATTTACAGCAACTTATCTTCATTTTCTCTTTTTTTTCATTGCAGACGAATGGAAATAAAGTCATTGTTCATACTTTCAAATGATTTTAACAAAGAGCATAAACCACATTTGGCATTATTATTGCTCAAAAATAAGATGCCAAATTTCAAAAAGCTCCAATATGTAAATTTAGGCATATTTTAGAATATTTTGAATAAAATCTCTAGTTTTTTTGTATTAAAGTTACATAGCTTCAGTCTAACATAGGTATTTTGACACAAAATCGAACATTCTGAAATGACATGCCAGTTTTTTCCCATATTTCGATTCGACGACTCAAATTATGCCTAAATATTACATTTTGTAAAATCTGGTGACAAATTTACGGAGAAATACTAAAAATACATCTACTTTAAGATGATGTTAAAATTTTGTAAGTTATATAACAATATTTGTTTTGAAAAATTTATAAAAAATATTTAAAAATACAAATTTTAAACATAAATCATAAAAAATATACGAATTATGTTTGGATTAAGCCTAAATTTCGAATTCTGGAAGAAGAAATAAAGTAAGTTTAATAAAAAAAAGCAGAGATTATTAAATATATATTAAATTCAATTAATACTGACATGCTAAAATTCTGAGAACTTATTTTTTAAAAACTATTCGTATGATTTCTACAAACCTTCGCAGTTTGGCATAGTCTGATTCGTAGAATCGAAATAGAGAAAATAATTGGCATTTCATTTCAGAAAAAGTCCGATTTTGTGTCAAAATATCTATATTAGAATGCTATATATAAATCTAATATATATCTGAAGTCGCGCTTTGTAGAACGAGAGATACAGAACTGTCCCTCCTTTTTTACGCAGTGTACTTTAAACGTAAATGGTGGAACAAAACGTAAAGACGGAAAATCCTTTATTGTTATAACAATTTAAGGAGAACGAAGTTCTTTTTTTTTAACGGATAAAAGACTTAATTGAAAATTTGCAATAAAAGTCTGATTACAAATGTTCTTTTTTTAACTGCCTTCAGCTGTTCCAAAATATTTTAATTAACAATCCTTCCATGAAGTGTTTTAAAGTTACTAAATTTGCAAATATACTGCATTCTCCTCGCACATAGCTGCTAATAAAATAAAAGCTAAAAATTTCTATGTCTTTCATTGCATACTGTTTTTATCTATACAATGAAACAATACTAATTTGATCTTTTTATTTCTGACAATATTAAAAGGAATGCATTCTGGAATGGATAATTTTAATTAATTATTTACATTAATATAATGCATTGTTACCATTGATGAATATGGTAAATATTTAGCATTTACCATAAATTAGACTAAATATCCCTCAGGAAACGTTTCTCGATTTCTTAATCTGTGTTGATTTGCTGTAGCTAAAATATCCGAACACTCAGTTATTAAAAGTTATTAAAAAATTATACTCTCAGTTATTAAAAGAAAAAATCGATAACTGAAATAAGTACTAAATGAAAGATAATACGAAATTCAGCTGCACAAATACGAAATTTACATCAGAAATAACAAAACGTTACATCAGCTATGATAATAAAATGAAGAGATCTTAAATCTCACATTTTTCCTGTCGTACAAAAGGAAGTAAAAGATCAAGTTTCAAGCAGTCTAAAATTATTTATTTTACCTCATTTGCAGCTATGAATATTTCTTGAATTCTAATCACCATTTAGTTTTAGAGGACATGGCTTATAAATGCAGAAATGAGATTATTACGCATAAAACTCAGTAGCCTGTTGGCTAAATAAACATAATAATACAAAATTCAACTTGGCACTCACCCTTATTTAACGGACGTGTTTGACGCTTGTGTACTTCAGGATCTAGACGTAAATGCTTAGCTTTTATCACATGTATAGAGAGGCGACTTTGAGTGGCAGCATAAAAGAGACCCACTAATATTTGGCCAATGTTCCGCGCAGGCTGAAAATGAGAAATGAAATTACTTTTGAAGTATACATAATAATGTTGACATAATGGGGAACAAAATGCTTAAATTATGGTTAGAAACATCGAGAAGTCAACAGCAAACATTTTATGGTAATTCTGTACAAAATGAATCTGAAATATAAGGAAAGCAATGCAATGCCGATAACATACTATTATGTGCGAACGGGTTCGTAATGGATTAAATGTACACAGAAAAGATGATAGCTTGATAAAATTAATTCTCCCAAAAAGAAACATTTAACAAATTTAGAACTTTCCGCAAAAGTTCTCGTACACCTGCTCTCAACATGACAGAGCACAATCAGTGGTCACCATTTCAAACTACAACCTTTAAACAAAACGCAGTACAAACTGCAACTAAAAGGCAAAGCTCGAAGAAGATCTCTGAATACTCCTAACTTAACTCTGAACTAAAAATTGATGCTTTCTGCGGTTTTATACAGTTTCCCCTCGGCATCGGAGAATTTTACAGTGCATTCGATTTCTTGAAGTTGCTGAAGGGCATACACAGTTACAGTTACCCAAGGCCCTATATGGTTACAGTTAGTGACCAGTTACGTAGGTATTTGATTAAAATTTCACGCAAAGGTCGCCATGTTTGGCGATATTTGGAATATTATATCCAGATTCTTCTTTACGCTACCCAAGAATGGCAGGTGTTCTCACACTAAAAATATGTTGTTTCTTCTCAAGTCAATAAATGTTGTTTCAGCTCATTGAAGTGTTATCTACATCTGTGTCTTTTGTTAGCTCCATTTCTTTTTCGTTCCCCCGATGCCTCTTTTGAGAATTGTGGTTAAAACTCACTAATATGACTGGGACTTTACAAAATAAACTGGCACAATTACCGTCAGATATCAGCTCAATATTTTCAGAAAGTTAATATTATTTTGTATTATTGGTATGTAGGTTTCTTTTAAGTTGCAAGTAGTTTACCATGACTACCTTTTTTTTTAATTCTCTTATTACTGTAACAGCATCCTTCGGAAATCAGATTACTCCATACATTTCCCGTCTCATTGTTCGGACAATCAAATTAGTTAAAAAAATTTGCAAGACCATGCGATAAAGTACGGCATTTACGGTAGTAATTCACTTTAAGCTAAACTGATAAGCTTTACCTTAAAAATGTTAAGGTTAAAATATGAGACATAACATCATTATTCCAATTTTTATTTTGAATTTTTAATAATTTTTAATTAATTTAGTATACGGCTTAAAGGCACTAATATTATATGGTTATATATGGGAAAGGTTTGGTGGACATACTATGGACATTGGTGTGAGCGGCAAACAGTGCTGATCCTCTTTGTCGGAGTTTAAGTTGGCGAGAGGAAGGACGGCATGACCCACAGCATCGTGCCTGCCTTGGCGATCGCAGTCGAATAGACTCAACTTCAGAATATTCTGCTTGGTAGATTTCCATTTGGACCTAGAATGGAATAATATCTTAATATTACATAATTGCGAAATAATTAAGTGTATTTCTGAAGAGGTGAGTGCATGAAATCTCCGATTACAACTCCAGCATTTGCTGTTTTTTGCGTTTCCTTTACACAAGGTCGTTGCTTCTAACTCTTTTCTACTTTAACTAATTACTAAAAATCTACTGATGGAAATTATAATTTTCGCAATGTTACATTTCGCTTTGCTACCAAATACTCCACACCCATTTCTTTGTAAATGTTGCCATTGGAATAAGTGTAAGTTACATTTATGATAGAACAGGTTATCAAAGACTTGTCTATCCAGACACCATTGATGACAAAGGATTTGAGTATCAGTAATGTCTTTCAGTTTCAGTTAGTTTTATAAACTTATTTAAATTTACTTGACAGCCCCATATTAATAACTTATGGCGTCACAGCCAGTTACTATAGCTCACAAGTGACTAATGCGTAGATCTACAGTTATCAATCTGTATGTCACCAGTAAATAATAGCTTTGATGGGTACCAGTGTCCTTCAGTTTAATTTTAAGGAGATCTGTGGATTAATCTCCAGTGATCGGCAACCCGTAAGTCACAAGTAACCAACAATCTTGAAAGGATGTGCTTCATTTTCATTTCAATTTAAAACATTATGCAAATATACTATGCAAGGTTTATGTTAGTTATTCCATTATCTTATTATTTTATCTGCCCTACAATTTTTATTTTCGTAAGCTCCTATCAGGATGCTAGTTACGTATACTCAACAACAGAGATCTTGAAATTTAGAGAGAAGCTACGCCGACTTTCTCTCCTAGCCTCGAGAATCACTTTAGATTGCAGTTAGCCTTTTACTAGTCAAGTATACTCACGTAATTAGAATAGTTTGAGCTAAAACTTGATAGGTTTTGAGAATGCTCTAAGCCCTTTGCGTTTTATATTAGCTTAAATCTCGCTAGCAGTAAAGACTGAACTGTAAGCATAAGCAGTGCAAATTGTTAAGTTTGAAATTTTAATAAAAAAGTTGTTTAAAGCTTTTGCTAAACAGGAGTTTTTTGGATAGACGAGACGTGGCAGTTTCATAAGACACCAAAGTTAATGTATCAAGCATTGGCTTCCTTATAATTATACTGATGATCCATTAATTACTGATGTGGGAAGGTGACAATTAACCTCCATGTGACTAAAGAATGACGGTATGTCTATACGCCGCCCGGGAACCAATGACTTTCTCAGGAACAACTGTGTTTCTATAAACTTTTAATTTCACCTCTATCTAAATTTACTGCACTGGTTAACTCCAAATGACTTCTAAATTTTAGATCACAAGTAACAGTGACGAAGACGAACACTGGAACCAACAGTCTTAATTTTTGTACATAAGTGCTTGATTTAATTTGAATTTAAATACGACTTCAAATTATTACATTCCCTCCACAGTTGTGATCTATGCGTTGACCCCCAGTGATGGTTAACCTGTTGTTCAGATACTAGCGACAAATAGCGTTGATAGTACCGATCTCATTCGATTTAGTTTTAATCCATAGATATTATGCTGCTCTTACATACGACATATAAGTTGACCGAAAGTGACCGTCATCTTGTAAGACGTGAACAAACTTTAACGAATCTCGGTTTCCTTCATTTCAGTTTAGATATTAAAACTATCTTTAGTGAAACTCTTTCCTTAATTTTCGTGCAAGAAACATCTTTAGCAGATTACTTCCAAAAATTTTCGACCGTAGTTTTACGTTACTCTATCATACAATATATCATCCTCTCGCCTTGATCAATGTTGCCGCGGTTCCCCGACAAAAGCCCACCGGACGAACGCGCAATAGACAAAAGGCTAGAAAAAAAAATCCGTCACTGTGATAATTGCCCAAGTGACAAATACCCACACCGATGAAGCGCACACTAATAAAAGCCCACGCAGATAAAAGCCCACATTGATAAAAGACCACACTGATAAAAGACCACATAAACAAAAGGACACATGATTTTTATCACTATAAAATGTATTTATAATTTTAATTATAGTAAATGGAGTATTCAGATCTGAATTTTTATGTCTCAAAAATACGTCTGTTTGGATATTTTGTCACTGTTTCATTTGTTTATTTTATTTGGTAAAAATAAAACTTTCTGGTTAAGTGATTAGCTATAATGTTTCGATCATAAATCTGAAAATGCATTTGATTATTTATTTACTTATTTAACATTGGTATATGTATGTGAAAATGAAAAACGTCATTGTGAAGTTCCTCACATGCTATTTTTTAAATAATATGGTTGAGATTATATAGCTGATGCTTTTGTCGCGTGCGCTTTCGTCCAGTGGGCTTTTGTCTGGTCACCGCCCCCCTCATATCCATTTCTCAGACTGTTGCCAGTCGGCAAAATGTGAGATATTTAATTTATTGCTCGAGTTTACTTATTGCATAAGTGCTTGATAAACTAAGCTATTTAAAAGCAATAAATGCACTTTTCAATACTTTAGTTTATTTTTTCATTCAATTTAAGTAGACATTTCTGACGCCGTATATTCTGTGCTTAGCATATATTCATGCTGTTTCTAAATTTTAATTTTTATACATTAAAACCCTCTAATGAACATGCTACAGAAAACACTTAATGAACAACTCGAAAAGAAAATTATTCGCGAATTTTGTATGTTCGTAAAACAGAAATTGTTGTCACTTTACTTGTGGGCCCACTAGCGGCCGAGCGGTAACGTCGCTGAACACTGGTAGTTCGGTCCGAGGTTCGAATCCCGCGAACGGGCTGGCTGCATGGTTATTTTCGTGGTTTTCCCCATGTGTAACGTGTATACGAGCCAGTTTCCCTTAAAAAGGTCCTCCACGAAGGCATCCCTCCCTTAAGGCAGATAGCTCTCGAGTGCTGTGCCGTAATCTAATAAACCAAAACTAAACCAAACCACTTTACTTGCTGAAAATATTTAGAAGCTGAGTAAAACAGGAAATGAAAAATAGTACCTAAATATAAAATAACATACTGTCATGTTACGCTACTTAAAGCGCTAATTCCTTTAAAATTAAACTATATTAAACTCAGAGATATTTACCTGTTAGTATGAAAGACATGCTCTTCCTTGAAGACGGGATTTAAGCTGTTTTTCGCAGTCCGGGACAAGCGAAAGTTTTTCCTATTAGACGAAATGCTGAGCTTCACGAATGTACTATAATGATGAAGTGTACCTTTTTGGGGAAGATCTGATGCCTTCTCAAGGAAAACAGTAAGCCTAAAATATGCAAGATTACTTACAATCAAATAATTAACATTAAAAACATGAAAGCAGTAAACATATTTTTATTTGAAGCTCGTTTCCATTTGGATGGTATTTATGCTTATATAACACAGTTGTAAAATTTTAAATTGCGTAAATCGCAGATAGAAAGAGGATTAAAAAGCACAATTTAAACATTACTCAAATCTCAAAATCATTAAAACGATACTCAAATTCAAATATAAACATTTAAAACACACAATTAAAATACCGTTCAGAATTCCTTAAGTAATGTTTTAATTATTGTAATATGGTTATAAATTTCATTCTAAACATTTCAGACTAATGATCATTATGAAATCTTCATTTCAAAGATATCAGCCATTTCAGGACTTTCGTCCAATTCCAATGCAGCAAAACTGTAACTTTTATATCTCTTGTTCAGTTTCCTTTTGCCGATAGAAACACACAATGATCAACATATGATCTAATCAAATAAATTCGCAATATATCCCAGAAAATGGTCAGGAATCTTTCTAGAAACGTAAAATGATACAATTTCATACCAATTATGAATTGTACCTCGAATTTTCTCATAGTTAAATGGTGCTTTATCCTTCACACTCGTCTTCTTTTTTCCTAACTTCACTACGAACTCTTCGAGTAACTTTGCATGTGGTGCATAAAATCAAAGTAAGAATTAGTTTGAATGTTCTACGCCTGTGGATCGTTTGAACGTCTATCTGAACATTCTACGCCTGTGGAACATGATGAGAATATACACCATCTTCAAAACCACACTTTATAAATAGAATAATAACCACTATTATTATTCAATACAACAAGGCACTGGAGAAATTTCATGAAATGAAGTCCAAAACTTAAAGCATAAACAGTCTACAAATCATAAACGATTGATTAACATCTTACAATGAATACGTAAACTTAGACAAATTCGGAAATTTCGGAAATTTGCTTTTAAAACGTTTTTTTTTTTTTAAATTTATGGCTGTAACCTTTTTAAATTGCTTTTATACTAAGTATTCGGTGGCTTAAGCATTTTTCATCAGATTCTTTAGCTTGATCATCAGTTCAATGTACAAATACTTGGCGCTGCGCATTTCGTTATCCTCTAGTTTTGCTCAGCAGTGCTGCGTCTACCCTTCTGTAAATTGAGTATGCTCTATCTTATGCAACCGACTACAATGCCTCTAGAGGGGTGTCTTTAAATTCAGCAGTTTTTTTCGTGAGACCTAGCACAAAAGTATCAGCAGCACTAGCTTATAATGAAATGACTCTCTACATACAGCAATAACTTGAATAAAGATCCCTCAGTATTCCATCATTGGTACAAGTGCATCACTAATTCTCATAGGTGATATTATTATTAAAAGTATGCACACTTCTTAATAAACTAAAACGTGTCAGCAAAGTACAAATTATTATAGCAGTATGGATTTCATACACAAATAGAACTTTATGAAGAACAGAAAGCAATTAATAAATCAGGAATTCTTAAAGAGGGTTTCTTACATCGACCACTTTTAAAAGAATGGTTTTCTTCATCGGCATCCTTACATTTTTCTCTATAATATACAGCAAAAAGCGTAATCATAATACAAATCATTATGAATAAATAATTTAGAAAGAACTATCAGACTAAGAATATGAACACAAGTTCTGAAAAAATAGTTTACTAGATTTATATTTTATTATTTTTGTATTTTTTTAAATTTTACAAATATAAACAATTTTTCAAAGACAAAATCAAAGTTCCTAATTGCACAAGAGTTCCCTTTCTATCAATGCGCTTGGTGTTTTGTTGTAATTTGTTTTTAACATTTGGTATAAAATTGGTTAACTTAATTTTAAATCACCTAGTTCAAAAACATTCTTGTTTTTTGTAATAAAATATTGACTTGACTAAACCCTGCTTCCGCTAGATAAGATGGAGGAAACGTCAGTTATGGTGGTTTGGTTACAACTTTTTTTTTTCTACTTTTATATTTCTGCCGAATGACTTTTGAAATCACAAAACTATGTTTACGTATGTGTTTTGAGTAAAATTTGTATTTGAAAATCGTCCTTCAATGCAACCAGTTCTTGCGTCATAAAACCAGGATCAGATATATCGCAGCTCAGCGAATCTATAAACCAGACTGTACATTCAAATTTTCAGTGTTTTGGAAGTGAACGGTAAAATTGTCTGTGCAAGTGGCTTATATAAAATAATACATCCCCTGAAGAAGTTTTGTTTCCTTCGTAAACTTGGGTTCTGTTTCCTTATGTTCCTGTGTTTTCCTGTTTTATATTGCATAAAAAGTATATACGTCTTTAAAACACTGTATTGATTTTAAAAATATTGAATAATATTTGCGTATTTTCTTTATTTTTATATTATATTATTTTTTCTTAGCTACATGACATAGCTTTATATCAATGAATAATGTATACGGTATTTTTACAGCCTTCCTAGCGTGCCTTCGTGGTGTAGTGGTCTGTACTCTGAGCCGTTATTCCAGAGCTCCGTGGTTCGATTCCCGGCGAAGGCGATTGTTCATCTTTCATCTCTCTTGCTTCCAAAAAACTCCTAATGTCTCTACAAATTAATTATAATTTTTGCAATATTTGTTGTAATAAATAGGATTATTCAGTCTACCCCTTGATCCTCACTGATCCCCTTTAAAATTTTATCGACCCCTAAAAGTTCATTACCGATTCCGTTGGGAAGCCCTCGTCTAAATTTACGAAATATCAGTATTAAAATCTAAATTACTCGAAATATCAATCATCAGTAGCAATGCACATCTGCAATCAAACTTAATCTTCTTAACGGGTAATTTACACGGTTAAGTGTTGCATCGCTGTGTGCTTGAGAAATAGGTGTTTATAGATCGTTAGCATTACGGAATGGCAAGTTATACACCTGGATACACAACTCCATACGAAGAACTTCAGTTGTATTAGGTCAGATGACTTCGATACCCATTCCATATTTCTTCCTAAACTGATGCTCATGTGTCTGAATTATGTGTATCATCGTTGCCTCATACAAAATACAGGAAATACTGGCTTAGAAATTTAGCTAACTGCATGTTGAAAACAGTTTTTCTTACTTGGGGTGTCTCAATCAACGTATTACACATCTGGTATAGAACGGTTGCTGAGCGTATTGCGCTCTATAATGCTTCTGTCTGGGGCTCTAAAATTACTGTACAAATGAAAAACGTTTTACTGTCAATCAAAGACCATTTCCGTTGAGGGTCGAAAGAGCTTACCGAACCTCACCTACTGCTGCACTCTAGGTCCTGGCTGATCTTCTGTTAGATCTACTTGCTAAGAGGGAAGCTAATTATCAGCAATACAACACTTGCACATACTACCATGCTATGCGCATATGCTTAAAGTGATTATGAGAAACGTTTCCTACTCCCTTCATATCATTCTGCCAGTTATGATTTATGCCTAACTGTGAACAATTATTCGCCTAACAGCAACCGAATTACAGTCTGCACTGATGGTCTAAATGTCTGGTCTAACAGTCTGCTAAGAGATATACTGGAACAGGCTGCAGGTGCTGTATAATGGAAAATAATATGCCTGCCTATTCTTGAATTGTAGACTATCCAATAATGACTCCGTTTTTGAGACAGAACTGGTTGCCATCAGTGCAGCTATTACTCATGCCAAATTATTTTCGTCACTTATGTTGATTTTCTACGACTCGATTTCCAGCCTGGTAGCTATTGAAGGGACCGAAGCAAAAGCCCATTTGTCAGGATGTACAAAGTGACTCCTTGCGTTTCCAATCTTCATCAGGCCACACTTGAGTTGGGTCCTGGCTCACACAGGAATAAAGGGCAATTGAAAGACTGAGGAGATAGCTAAGATTGCAACCACATTTCCAGATGTTTCTAAAAAAGATATTTCTATCCCCGTTTCCCATCTAAAGAAGCGTCTTAACAAATGGAAAGAAAGCCGGAACACAGACTTAGCGAGAAGAATATTCAGGTTTTTTTCGCAGTCTGTATCAATTTATTAAATACCAGTTTATTCGTCACACAATACTTCTTTGCACATTTTGTACTTATTTGTACCGTTTTCGCTACAGAGATACTGACCAGACCTACTGCGGGGATATTGGTAGACCAGATCACTTAATCTTTGACTGTCATTATAAAAGCTCTGTGTATCTCAAAAAACCAACAGATACTCACACTTCCGCAAGGGCCGAGAACACAGCAAATAATCCTACAGCTCAAAGAAAAGTAGCGCAGATCATTAGTTTTGCTTTCTGTTCGCTGTAATTCTCCAATTTCGTCATGGATTTTATAAGTCCCTAAAGCTCTCTTTAATTAATAGCACTGGTACTGCTATGCTATTAAAGGCTTTGCTTCTAAATTTTCTAATACTCATATAGGTTTCAATACCTGTAGTTGCATTGTTTCCTCTACAGAATTTTACTGTATTATTTTATGTATGGAGCTTCAGTATATATGGTTTCTTTCTCTTCCACTTTTATTCTATTTTTACTGTCTTCTAGAATTTATATGCGTAGTGTATTTGTGGACATGTATTTTTTAATTTTTACTGTAATTTAGAATGTTTATGTGTAACATTTATATGTATATATGTATTTTTCATAAATATGCACACGCACATGAGTTACATAAGTGTATATGGATGGAGTGAGCAAAAGTAGAGTGGACTACTCCTCTGCTGCCTAAAGTCGGCCTCTATGTACTAATGCATATATGTATATGCACTCACACAATATTATTGTTTCATACGAATTTTAATTTCACTTTTACAGATAGGCGTGCATGATATATTTATGATTTTATATCTCCTTGTATATATAATATGAATTACTCTGCTAATGCAATGGTCATACCTCTTTGTAACACTTAAGAACTGTAATACATTTTTGTAAAATGCATGAATTCAACATAGCATTAAATACTGGTCAGCCATCATCCCGAACCTAGGGTACAGTATGGCAGGTATATTTATTCTCTCCGCTAGGATAGTCTCAAATTCTGTGCAGCGTTCACACCCGTGTCGAAAGTCATCTCGGCTGTAGTGTTAATGGTAAGTCTTCGAGAAAATCAATTACTGTGATTCGTTAAGATTCCACTTCCAATTCCATTAAAGAATACAAGGTCCTAGGGAAGCAAATTCTCAAAATCCCTCATACCATATTCAGAAGCTAATGCTTCTGATGATAATCTTCTTGTTGTCATGATGAGTTTCCAAAAATTTATAAGTACGAATTGTATCAGTTTTATGGACATGTATTTTTAATTTTTACTGTCAAATAAATTTTAATTTACTGTCAAATAAGAAAATAAAAAGAAAAACTTCCTACTGAGAAGGAATTTCTCCTCGTTCATCTATAGATTATTAGCTAAGAAATCTGAATGTACAACCAGTGTGTTTACTACACACTGGTTGTGCTAGTGATATCTTCTGTGGTAATCCACTGATCTCAACCCTTGCATTAGTGTTACACTGTCCAGATGAGATAACATTTTATGCAAAATTTGCATATACGATCAAATGTAAGCCCACAGGACACGTTGATGTCTCTAGTATTGCACTGTGTGTGGGTCACCAAACAGGTGTTGGCTGAACTTGCACACTAGTTTTACCCATTAGTATTCCTAATCTCCAAAATTCTCTTCTAGGGGGATCCTCAACTGCACTATACAATGTACATCAATTATCCTTAACGGCACTATACAATGTACCATCGGCTCATGAATATAAATGTGCTATGTACCTATTGATTAGAAATCGAATGATATATGTATTGTAAATAGGTAGTACAGTATAGCATTGTAAATATGAAGCTGTAACCATGCACCCGCATATATTTCTACGTAACGTGACACAGTAAGGCAAAATATCAACCTAGAGTCCTATTATGAAATTAATAAGCACCCATTACTAATTATAACATTTTATGGATCTAGAGTTTATGTAAGTATATGAAGTAAGTTCCAAATGTTTATGTTACCAATGAATATTATGTACCAAATATAAGCGTATATACGCTTTTGTCTATATGCAATTGTGTCTGTATGTCCTTGTTTATATGTAATTGTATCCATGTATCTACTAGTATTATCACATATCTTGGAACTTTATAGTTAATATACATCTTACGCACTGAATAATCATGCACCTAATGTGTCTGTACTCCAAAATGTCTGTATATATGTAGATGAATTTATGTTCTGTATATATGATAATGTAACTATGCATCTGCACATTTTATCCTGTAGCACGGCACCGTACCGCAAAAATCAAACTAGGGTCCCACTCTAAAATTAATTGCACCAATTATCTGTTCAGCATTGTATTAAGTACCTATTGTTAATGTATGTTAAAGTAGCACTTACCTAACGCTTGGGTACCCACTGATTACTATGTACCTAATACACGTGTTTTTATATCTCTGTACATAGGTTAATGTACTTAGGAAACAGCACAAATAATCCAGTAGCAAGACACTGTACCACACAGTACTAATCTAGGGTCTAACATTTAATTCACTGTACTAATTACTTATTCTAGCATAACATTGCGCACCTAATATTTCAGTATGTACATGTCGTGTATCTAATGATAATACTTCAAAGGATCATAGTGTACTCAACGTATGAATACACACGTTATGTATATATGCTACCGTATCCATGCTTTTGCATACACCTTGTAACATGACAATGTATTATCTAGTGTCTAACATTAATTAGCTTTAACGCCACTGTATTTAAGTACCAAATTTGTATGTATGTTTATGTATTAGTGTGTTAGCATAATGACTACGTATGGTTATCTAGATAAAGGTGGACGTGGCGCTATACCGATTAACCGTATTGGTAGAGGGGTTGTGCCCACGTCTTCGTCGCATGCCGCATGTACACCTTCTTCTGAGTCACGATTTTACTATGATAAGTCTCCTGACGGTCTTTTTGGAATAAGGTTTAGTTTGGTAAGTAAATTGTTTTCCATAAGCAGTTAAGATCAAGATTAAGATTAAAATATTCACTTAATTCAGTATGAGGACCTGAAAGGCATGCAAAAAAAGATTCAAAGAAAATATAATGATTTTACGGGAAAACTAGTACTGCTTATAATTTAAAGTTTCGAGATTAAAAGATAGTCTCAGTTTCTAAAGCAGGTTTTAAGAATAAATTCCTATTTTTTAACCTCTTACAAAGAAAGTGAAATATCATCTGTAGATTAACAGCATTCTAGAAACTCCTATATACAGAATTTCAGGTCGAATATTCACTAGGCTGTCTTTTTTATCGTCATCAGACCAGTGAGTTGGAATTTGTTCTTGATTTACAAAAATGTCCCTATTGTACAGACTTAAACATCTAGCAGATTTTTAATGAAAGAAAAGTCATACATCTCAACTAATTTTAATCATTCAGTCTCAGATACACATATGCATCTTTTGAATGATACTTCTAGATGTATCAGGGCACATTTATGCTCTGCCGCGTCGAGAATGCATTAGAGTAAACTTTATCAAAAAGAAGTAAATGCGTTTAAATACAATTTTTAAAATAATTCCTGATTAGTTGAACATTTTCACAAGCACCTCAGCAGTACTTCAAGGTAGCAAGAATTTTTGATACCTATTACTTTCAGACAGATTTGGGTCACTTAGTGCATCCTTTAAGATAACCCTGAAGAATAAACAATTTTGATAACTCTATCGAATAATGCGCAATGCGGCTGATAATTATTAGCACTAAACATTTTACTTTGGCTGTATAAATTAATCATTTGTGTATAGACTATGTCCTAGAAGCCTGAAACTAAGTAAATGAAATAAATCCAGAGCTTAAAAAAAAGGAAAAAATCAGAAATATAAATTTATATATACATCCAAACTCAGCTGTTCCGAAAATCAAAGAAACTCAGCTAACGAAAGCAGCTAAGAAACAAGTATCAGGCAGAAAATAATATTGTCAGAATATCCTACTAAAATTATCCGACTCTCAAGTAACATAATTCACAGCCTGCGCCTTCATTAGCAGTTAACAAGGTAACCTGATATAACAAGGTGATTTATGTTGATATTGTGAATGTACAAATGTTTATATACTTTAATACGCATAAGTTTAGCTTTGGTCCACTTTAAATAAGAAAGCATCTGAATACCATTTCAAAACGAAGGTTAGATGTATTTAACAAATATTTAAACGAAGTTGTTTATAATAAGTTAACTAATGCTCCACTTTGTAAAAATTCTGTATCTCTAGCATCGTACTTTTAATGAAACTTAATGATTCAAAATGTAACAGCAATAGTTCAATGAACTCTACACTCACAATTGAACCTCACCTTTGTTCTTGTTCATCATAAGCAGTGACGAAAGTTAAGTACCCGTATACCTCTAAATCGGTTTTTGGTGCTACTTGTGTTCCACCTTCTTTTTCGTTCCGTTCGGTCTCCACCTCTTCCTGCTCTTCTTCCACAGACTCAGTTTCTGCTATACCACTAAGGACATGCTTATCGAAAATGAAAGTATTCTTCTCTCTGCCAGTTTCTATGTCGTGTTGTACCACAGGCCTGAAATCATAACAACAAAAAAGGCTTTTCAAGAATGAAATAATAAAAAGCTACTTATAAATCAAACTTGGAATCGTGAATAGTTACACAGAAAAGTTCATGCAGGAAAATGAAATGCAAAACAAATATTTTATTCGCTTTTAGAAATAGAAAGTTGCAATGGAATACGCTCCAGACGGTAATAATTCTTTTACCATTTATAATAGATTTTTACAGATATCATGCAGCAATAGTTTGTTTTCAAGACGCATATATGTTACTAGCTAAGCTGAAAGAATCTAGCTTTACTAAAATTTTCTATCCCAAACTTACTACAGAAGTACTAGAAGATCCCCTTACTATCAATGGCGATGTATAGTTCACACAGATTATTTATAAAGCTAATAAATAATAAAGCAAAACTAAAAGGTTTATGGATCTTTACAGTTCACATAATGGTGCAAAACTGATTGACAACTCAAAGTTTTAGAGCAATTTAAACGACAAGCTGCAAGTTCAGATGAAAAAGCATTGTACTTTAAGTTAAGCGTATTGTTTTCTTTATCGTAAGGAAGGCGAATTACAGCATCTTAACGCTACAGTTAAATCAAAACTGGAAGTTTCTCTTACGAATTTTTAAAATGTCCTTAATAAGAACAATATTTTAATTTTCACGATTTCGTATAATAAAGGAAATTTTAGAAGAGAAATAAAACGCAGTTATGTTTGAAAAGAAAATTTATTTCTCAAATTTTTATTTCTCTGAATTTTATAAAATTAAAGATAATTAATTTTATGTCGTACAGTACATACAGTGTTTAGAACTAATAGTAATGTAGGCCTCTCTATGCTCTAACGTAAACAAATTGCATTTAATTAAATGATTCAAAAGAGGTGGCGTATTTTTTGTAACAAAAACAAGCAAGTCTAATTCTTGTTTCAAGTATTTTTGTAAACGTAGAATTCAATAAATTATTTTTCCACCGTTTTTAAGAGTTTTGAAATTGTAACATTTCCTTCGTAAATCTTCATTATCAGCTCTTTACATATTACTTAAAGCACTTAAATTAGCTCTACGTATTTCCACTGATCAGATTAATGATAGCTATGAAGTATACAGAAACATTAACTCAAAGTTATCTTCAAGCAATTTCGCTGATTCGTCATGATTTGACACAGCAAACATTGTAGATAAAATTTACACTGTATTTACATGTTTTCTCTACCGCAACTTACGCGCTTTCCTCAGATTCCAACTTCAGATTTAAAATCTTGGCCTTTCTTTACATTTTCAGTTGGCTTTTCTGCAGCATTCAGTGTTGCCATTCGGAAAAAATCTATGCACTTAATCTAAATGAATAACAAACTGCAATATTACTTATCAGAACTCCATGAATAATTCACCCTTATTATTGGATGTAATAAATTGTTTACAGTGTATATTACCTGCAATAATTAGTTGTTCATATAAAATGCAAATCAGACGGCTACTACTTCATTTCAAGATAATAATTATTAAAACAATATCATTTGTATTATTTGATATTTTTTCACGTGATCAAGGCGTTTGGACTCACCGAGAGTTGAGGATAACATTTGACTCACGGCCAGTCGATGATCCGTTTGAAATGAGAGATGTGACGTCAGTTGCACTGGTGGCAGGGATGGTGGACCAGCACCTCCCTCTTTGTTCTAAAGGTGGAATGTCATCATCTCCCGACGAAGAGCAACTGTCTGACTGGGAACGGCCGGGCTGGGTTACTACTGTATTGTAAACACCTGAAATCAATTGTCCATGTTCATACGGATGTTAAACAAATACAGATTGTTATCATTCTTTGGTCAGACTGAAACCTAAAACAGTTAAGAATTTTGCTAAATTAAAGACTAACCACAAATAATATAACCGTATCAGATTACAGGGGGATTCAAAATGATCAACGTGATTCAAGTGAATTTATTACCGAAAGTTGCGAGCACTCAAGAGACAAATGATGTATCAAATGAAAAAAAGCCTGCCGATATTTTTTCTAAACACTTTGAGTTACTCCATTTGGTTACAAGAAAAACTAAACCACGATTTCCATACTGAGCAGCGTTTCTCAATCTACGGTCCCCGAAGTCTGTCCTCGTGGTCCTGCCACATTTTCAATAAATAAAATAAAATGCAATATTGAAAATACAAACTGCCTTTGAATGAAATGCTAGAGTTGATTTAAGTTTCGTAAGATACCAGACTTAAAATGAAATTTCAAGTAGACGGTGCAATTAATCTCCGAATCTCATTACCAATGAAAACAGAATATAGTGAACAATGGTTCTTTACAAATTATAGTTCATTTTGTTTATTTATGTGTGTTATTTTAGTTCATTTATGTGTGTGTGTGCGAGAAAGTGTTTTCATCACTAACTCAAATACAGACTACTGAAATCTACTTGAAGTATGTTCCGAACTCCACTTTTATCAACATACATCCAAACACAGAATAACTGTGCAAGAACACAGAATAACTGTGCAAGAACTAGTGTGCTCCTTTGTTTCGTTAATGCAAGTAACAACATTTATTTAATTTTTAATTAATAATCTAAAGACTATTGAAAATTTAAAAGCTTTAAAACATTAAAAGAAATAAAATTCCCTTCTGTTAATTATTTAATATCAATATAAAATTAAATTAATTTTAACTAATTATATTTTTTAAATTATAAGTGCGCTGGTAGTAAAATATGTTCGCAGAACATTCTAAGCTATAAAAATGGTACCCTCGTGAAAAAAGCATGAGAAACGCTGATACAGAGGAATTCTTGATCCAATATCAAATGACTTACTTCCGTAACTACATATAAATATATATGATGTAAAATCAATTTAAAATGAAATTTAATTAAAATTGTATTAAATAAAATAATATTAAAATTTTTGTATTTAAAATAAAGCACAAAGAAAAGATCTTTTTATACAATATGGAAGAATATATTTATTAAAAATGGATGTAATCATTAATGTGCTAAAAGGGGTCAAATAATTTATCTAATAACTAAAAGGAGAAAAATGATTTGTAATAAACTTTATAATAAGAGCATGAAATGGGAATAATAAGATTAAATAATTGTATTATTCTTAATGGGAATCGCAGATTAAATAATCATTTACAGAATTCATCTCATTTAAAAGTATATAATATTATAAAATTAATTCCTAAATCAGTGTAGATAGGAATTGGCTATGGGGTGCTCTTCTGGAGATTTCAGAAATTTTTAAATTTCGTTAGCCTTTTCGCTACTGGTAATCTAAATTGGTTATAAAGAACGTCACAGGCGAACAAAACGTTTGTTTTTAATACTTTTTTCCTGATAATGGATTGAATATTAGCAGGTAATTTTTTTATTACTCTGCTTTTCTAAGCGAGTATATTCATAATTTATATTTTTGGAGGAAAATTGAGAATTCAAAGTTGTATGATCTTCCTTGTGAGAAACTTTTGCTACCATAGATGCTTAATTCAGTCAGCAGTTTCGAGGAGTGGCAGTCAACTCGTGTCTCGCGGCAAAGTTTGCAAAATTTATTATTATTGGCGGAATTTCCCAATTTGTGTAAAATTTCATACTTCTGATCGTCTTCGAATTATTTTCATATAAAGATTTTTAAACGTTAGTTCAATAAGAACCTTGAAATAATGGATGCTTTTAATTCTACGGATTACGCTGAAATATTTGCTAAAATACTACCACTCAAGCTACAACGTAAGTGGTTCTCTAGGATACAGAAGCTACCGCTGATTCCAAAGTAGCAAGCGAATAAGCCTAATACGAACAAAAATTAGTACTAATACCTAAGCCTTGCACTTACAACTCAACAGCTGCTCGTTGCAGCCGCTGTTGTTAAGCATTGAATGGTTCCGAAGAATAAAAAGGAATAAAATAGATTTATTCTAGCAAAGTTTGATGGAGAAATAATTCCTTTTCATTCAACAGCCAAAATCAGTGACTGTTTCTCTATCAGACACTTAAAGTAAACTCTAAAGGAATCAATGGTACTTGTGCAAGATGACAGAAATAACAATAATCTTACCTAACTATTACTCTAAATAGAAATGTACCGCGGCTTCATTGATCCTAACTGAACATACACATATTTTCGATTGAAAGAAAGAAAAAAGATTAGAGCGAGTAGAAAGGTTTGAATGCAGATAAGAAATGCAACTTAAAAATATTAAGCAAATGAAAACCTTATATAAACGTTACGCATATTTAAAACGATAAGATTCCTTAGTTAATGAACAAATTGAAAAGTATAATCAAGTCTATGGCTTCTCCCAATGCGCTGCTTATTGAACTGGGAAAACTTAGAAATTTATTCACCTTTATAAAAATGAATAATGAGTCTGAGATACGAAGAAAATCATAATACTAATTTTCACGAAATGATAGAAAAAATTTTACTTGCTCTTTCTGAATCCTAAGGCTTTAATTGAAATTATGAGTTGATTTTTAACAGTTTTTCCTCTATTGAAAAGACGGTTTTGCTAATTAGATGTCGTTTTGCTTCAGTTTCAAAAAGCAGACATTTTTCTCTCTCCGACACAGTGAAAGACTTTTCATCTCCATTATTCGAAAGTAAAAGAGTTAAAAATAGAAATCATTCCACTATTTGGAACAAAACCTAAAATATAAAAACTGTATCATAATTTGGAATTCTTTTTAATGTACCATAAATTAAGCTACGTATATACGAGTACAGGATTAAATTGCTCAAATCTTCAAAATGTATAGTAGTTTTTCGAAAATCTGAGCATAAGCATCTATGCATTATGATGTTTGTGACTGTCTGTAAATGATCATTCATTAATGCTTTCATTCCCGAAACCAAGATTTTGAATATTTGAAGCTTTTACCTCTTTTAATTCAAATCTCTAGCCCAATAAATAAGCTGTTTAAAAACGAATTTCTACTTCTTTCTAAAATTTTTTGTAAGTTAATCTATATTCACCAACGAAGTCACCTCTTTTCACTTCTTTAATTTCAATCATTTTACATTTATATTTGCAAAATAAGTTTTTGTTTTTAGCTGGAAATACATTTTACCTAAAAACAATTATCTTTCATAAAAGTTAGAAAAATTTTTGCATCATTTAAGCTTAATGAAAAATTCATATTAAAAAATTATTCGAAGTTTTTCCTATGAATTCAAAAATTTCTTTACTTTAAAGCAATTTTAGCTCGTAGCAACATATAACTGCAAGAGTTTCAAAAGATAAAATGATGTATGAAATCAAAGATATCTAGATTTAAATTCATTTTAAAATAAATTATTTCTTATTTCGTAAATACATGTTTCTGTAAATAATACGTTTTATACAGATTATTTTATTGAGCCTCAGTTTTATTCCTTGTAATATTTTAAGATGTCAGTTGGCGAATCCATACACTGTAAATGCTTTGTTAACAAAATTCTTCCGAAACGTTGTTCATAATGCAATTGATACATTGATCATAGATCTAAGATTACTGAGTCAATTGTATCCTTCATTTATATGCTTTGCGATTATTATAAAATTTATAACAAGTTTTGGATTAATTATACAATATTCCAGGTGTTTTGAAAAAGAAACAATTATGAAAACACTGAAGTTTCTAGTACAAGAGATCCCGCGTAATACTGTTGATAGGTTCATAAAAAATTTCGTGGTATACGAATTAGGTTATACGAACAACGGAACTTCTACAAAACATACGGTTGTAGGGTTTTCCATATTTTGCATAACAAATTTATTTTAAGTTTGATACCTGGTCTAGAACTTCTCAACTTCCCCTCACATTCTCTCGCCGGGATGTAAATTTAAAGTTAAGTGAAGTGCTATTTAAACGTGTGAATACCTCAGTTTATTCAGAGCGTGTTTCGATAGCCAAGCGCAGGTTTCGTTATTATTTAGCGGTCACGCTACTAAGCCTCTTGGCCTTATCAAATTAGTATCGCGCCGGTTAGATTCCTGTGAGTTCACCTCTTAGGCGTAAACTTAAGTGCGCTCCTGCACTATTTATTTCATGTTTGAATTGTATTATATTCTATGTTTTAGTATCCACCGCAAGTGGACGGTGTCCCTGTAACGCACGAAGTCAATGCCTTTCTATTAACTAGTTGAATTAATAAAGGGTTATTTTTACTCTTCATTTGAGTCAGTAGTTTTTATTCACACCTGTGCGAGAATTCACCAGGTCATTATAGGGTCTATTCTAGTTTATGTGGTATGAATGACAGACTCTACAGTGGCGCCCGAACTAAAAGGGTGTTGGATGATGGTTTTCCACACCCAGGAATTTGCGATTGGGTACCCTAAAAACCCCAGTCTCCCTTTAAAAAGGGGGGGGGGAGTATATAAGGATTCTCTTGTCACTTAGGGACCCATTTCTCCCACCGCCTTGGCGAGTCTTAGTGGTTTGCACGCTGGGCCGGTATTCCAGAGGTTCGCGGTTCGATTCCCGGCGAAGACGTTGTTAATTTTTCATTTGTCCTGCTTCCAAAAATACCTAATGTCTCTACACGGTTAAGTTCCAAAAGTTAAACAAAATCTACGATATTTTCATTTTGTATCTTAGAGAAGTATACTTATTAAAATGATAACTGATAAATCTTTTAGATATGCCTATTAAAGTTTTTTTCATCATCACTGCTACCAATTACGATCAATGAGCGCGTTTACCTTTTGAAGCGTTTTTTACCTATCTTCAGTCTCCTGCGAACTACATTTTGCAAATTTTCAATTGTTTACTTTCGAAGAGCTTTCATAAAAGTTATTATATAGAGAGAAATATATATATCAAGCTTCCTTAAATATTGGGTAATTTTTAAGTGTAAAAATTTTTCATATAGAAAACATCACTGTAATTAGTTCGCGAAGTAGGTAGTAATTTGGTATTTCTTTTCTCAACTTTATTGGCATGATGATAAGAAAGCTGGCTGCTATAGCCTTGTGGCAAAGATCAAAAGTCAGGTAAGGCATGAATGTTTCTAAATGTACACTGCGCCAAAAAAAAGGGGGCAGTTTTATATTTCCCGTTCTATTGCGCCGATTGACGAAATTCAACTTGCATTTTTCATGTCTCGAAAGCGTGACTTAGGATATATTATTAGATTTATATATAGCATTGTTCTAATATAGGTATTTTGACACAAAATTGGACCTTTTTCTGAAATGACATGCCAGTTTTTTCCATATTTCAATTCTACGACTCAAATTACGCTAAACTGCCAAGTTCTGTAAAAATCCCACTTGTAGTTTTTAAGAAATTAACTCTCAAAGTATTAGCTCCTAAATGTTAATTGAGTTTGGTATATATTTATCTACATATATCTTATTTTTATCACACTTATTTGATTCTTCCTTTCACATCTCGAACTTTAGGTTCATTCCAAATAACATTCGCCCATTTTTAAGATTTATTTTTAAAATAATTTTTATAAATTTTTCGAAAATTTTTTTAATTAAAAACTTATAAAATGTTTACCATCATCTTAAAAAATATGTATTTCTAAGCATACCTTCAAAAAATGTTATTCAAAATTTTCGAAGATATACGTGAATTTATATATTGGCGCGTTTTGAAATTTGGCGTATTTGTTCAAAGCGATAATAATATCAAATGTGGTTTAGGCACTTTGTTAAAATTATTTGAAAGCAGGAACGATGAGATTTTTTCCGCTCATCCACAATGCAAAAAGCTAGAAAAGATGTGACTTTTTTCCCCGTCCTGCACAAATGGAAGGGAAAAGAAAATAGGTTGCCATATATTAAGAAGTTCGCCAAGTAAATTATTCTTGGCGCAAACTGAAAAAAAAATGCGACGAATTAAATTTTTAAATTTCTCCGTAAATTTCGCAACACATTTTACAAAGTGTTATATTTACACATAATTTCAATCGTAGAACCGAAATATGGAAAAAAATGGTATATTATTTCAGGAAAAGTCTCATTTTGCGTCAAAATACCTAAGTTAGAACAATGCTATATATAAATCTAATATATAACTTAAGTCCGCTTTTGAGACATGAAAACCGCAATTTGAATTTCGTCAATCAGCCCAATAGAATAAGATATATAGAACTATTCCCCCCTTTTTTTTTTCTTTTTTGCGCAGTGTGCATTATCTTTGTGGCGTAGAAGCACTTAAAATCCTACTGTCAAGCTAAAACTCTTCTTGAGAGATTGGGGACGGTGAAGGAGGTTGGAAGATTCTCGTATCGTATTTTAAAGAATCCGTTTTTCAAACTTAGACAGTCAAAAGCAGGTGGTCACCTATGATGTACCCAAGATATAAGTCAACGACAAGCGCAATCATAGCTTCTTGGCAACGAAACATTTGGTGAGCTGATCTGACTATAAATTCAATATTATATATTAAAAATATATATTCAATGTTAAAAACAACAATAACTGTATTCTGTTGTTTGTTTGCAGGAAGCAGCCCATCCGCCTGACTACGAGTGGACGGTGGCCTTGTAACGCACAAAGTCCATGCCTTTCTATTAACTAGTTGAATTAATAGAATTAGAAAATGCACCACTATTACCAATTTAAATACTGCACTAGGCAGTCATATTTTTGTGTCTAAAACTTTCTTCAAAAATGGAAATCATTGCCTCGAATAGTATGTTATTTACATCCAATCTTCAGGAAGAAATTGAAAATAGGGATTTTAATGAGATTCTTTATAATGCAGAGTTCGGAATTTCTCGTAAAAGAATTTTGAAACTAATCGTGAAGTTTTCCCGCATTAAAAAAATTGCTTTAAGGCATGTTTGATTTAGATCTCAAAATAACAAAGACTGTTAAATGAGAAACCTTTATGTTGAATTTGAATACATTTAAAAGTCTTATTTTGATTTTAAATTCATATTTTTTTTAATTAGCAAGAACAAAATGCAAAAATAAAGATAAAAACTTTGAAAAATAATGCTATGGCTTTCTGCTTTTGAGCTTCATTTTTTTCAGATACGTGCAGCATTCAGATATTTTTTACTTTTTATTACTTTGAATTTTACTTTTATCTTTGTATTTTATGTTTGATTTTACAATGGAATGTGAATTCAAAATTAAGATTAAATATTTAGGATTATTGTGTTTCTGTTGACCGCTAAATTACTGTAACTTTCAGGGCATTGTTTAATTACTGGTGTTTTGAAGTTATTGCCTTCAAATTATATTTTATTGCCTTCAGATTATACATATATATATATATAAAGAGAGAGAGAGAGAGAGATCTAAACAAAAGATGAGAAATTTCAAATTAAGATAAACTGGTTTTGGTTTATTGAGATTACGGCAAAGCACACTGGGGCTATCTGCCTAAGGGGAGGAATGCCTTCGTGGAGGACTTTCTAAGGAAAACTCGTTAATGTTTTGAATTTTTCCTTTTTTTCCTTTTTGCTTCAGCATTGAATTGTTTTAATTTTAGTTTTGATATGTAAATTTACTGTTACAATGTTGTCTCCGTTCGTAATCTAATTCAGATTTAATAATTATCTCTTGAATATATATACATATATATATTAAAGGTTTTGCCTAGACAACTCTCTTAAATTCTGTAAATACAAAGCATTTTATTTTGAAATGTAAGAACAAGTTAAAAACTACACTTTTACTACATTATAAAAGTATTGGAAACATATTTAAAATTAGATGGGTAATGAAACCAACAATCAACTGAAAGAACTTAACCCTTAATAGAAAAATGTACTTACCAGTATTGAAAGATGAATGTCTTCTTGGAACGTAAAATGTTTGCACTTCTGTTTCTCCAGCATGATTGGGTGTCTGCCCTTCCTGTATCAAAGAACTTGCGTCGTCAAATGTTGAGGTCTTTTCCGTGGGAGAGGACCAACAACAACAGCAGTAGCAACAGCGAATCCACTTCATAGTATTTTGGACATTATAGGCCCGTTCATAAGGAATCGTAGGAGATTCGTGCTGCATATGCAGACATCCAAAATCTGGAAAGCAAGAAGCCAATCTGAAAATTTATGTGAACAAAATTTTGCGGATTTCAGCAAAAATTTCTATGTAACCTTCTTTTTGAAGGTAATATCTGATTTTAGTAACAAATGCAAAATATTTAATCGTTTTTTGAGGAAATACTGATGATTAAATCAATAGCTCTAAGATATTTATCTTATATCTTGGAGTTATAACAGCTGAATATTATTAAGCTGCTGCTGTTTAACAATCTGTTTCGGCAATGGAAAGGTATTGTCATATACAACCAATTTAAGAGAAAAATCTTTTACTACATTAATATTATTTGACACATTTATTTCTTTGAGATAAGAATATTTTAACTATCATGTTTCTACGAAGATATCGAGATAAGAAAGTTAAAACACAAAATAAGCGGGTCACATTATTGACAAATGTAAATCTTCATTTATGATACATTACTAGTATGGCAAAATGTCATATTAGCAATGGACGACATTGGCAATGAAGTGTATTTTTAGCACTCTTAAGAATGTATACATAATCAAATTTAAACTTTCTGCTTTATAATCGACATTACAACTAAATCAACAATGAGATTTTTAGGTGCATCTATGTTCCCTAGTACCTTCAAATTAAATATCTTAGTGGGAATATAATCCCTAAGAATTACTGCAGTGTAAGTGCGAAATGGAGAAAATATTCTGTGATGTTTTGAACAAGCCTTTGATCCTTTTCACAAAGACATATGCATCATTTCCATCAACTTACACTTCTTTTGTTAACTTATCGTTATTTCTTTCTATTTCTTTTGATCAAGAACATTGCTGAATCCAGTATGGAAATACTACAGATAATAGACTGCCCATTAATGAAAGATGTTATACGATCTAATGAATTCATACTCATTCTTTTTCCTAAAACGAGCAATCAGATGTTTGAGTCAACTGAATGAGATATACTTGTTGCTTTCAGCTTTGAAAACATTTTATGGGTCTGTAATTATTTATGAAAATTCACCAAGCATAATTTAGATTCGCATTTTGTTTATCGCTAGGAACAATGAATATTGTGACTTATCTGAAATTGCAAATCATGATATGTTTCGTTTCTGCCAGGGCCCTCGAGTCTACTGACTGACATACCCTCAAGGTTAGTAAAACATTTGAGAAAACTGTCAGGCAATGTTCCTGCTTGATATAATATAGAATTAATCTAGTTTCCATCACGTGGTGCAAAATCCTTTCAATTCAATTCCAAGCCCTGATAAAAGATCTAGCTTCAAAGAACACTTGGGTCTCGTGAGAAAATAACGCAATAGTAATAGGAAATTCCGTTCTGTTCGTCCTTGTCGCTGCGCCTAGCTTGCAGAAGTGCAAGCTGTTGTACCGGCTATCTTCAGCTGGTTGCTTCAAGTAGCGATGCAGGAAAAGAAATGCCTAAGTGAGTCCTGGAGACAAGATACGAGTTGGAGAGGGGTGTAATAAAGTGAAACAAGTCCATTTCATTTGCATAAAATAAGTGGTGATGATGAAGTCAAAATCATGCTATACACACAGATTCAACTGAGATCTTGGACAGAGCAGATGTGAAAGCACATTTAAGCTTTATGTAGGGAAATCTTGGTTATCGCTTAGCATGAAAACCGTAAATGAGCACAGATGGCTGTAATCTTGAAGAATCTTGTAGGTGAAAACTTCAAAGTAGTTCATTATATAACATTCTTGTACGCCAACGGTTAGTAAGGTCGTTGTGAAGACATTTGTTACGTACGTAGAAATGGGCATTTGTAATGATGCAAAGGTATTTAATAGATACAATGTTTTTACGTTTTATCCATATCTATTTATCCAAGAGACTGGCTTTTGCTTAAATTTACAAAATATCCAAAATCGTTCCTTTATTTCTTATACGCAAAGTGAGTATATTCTTTCATTTTCTTATAGCTGAAAATAAATGCTATTTTTAGCAGTCAGATTCATAATTAGGCGCCATGGTGATTTTATTCTTTACTTTCTATTGCATTTTTAAAATTCAATTATTTTAAATGAACGTTAAGTTTTTCAGAAATGTTATAACTTTTGATGACAAAATGTCATCCTAGCATTTTAAACCAACAGGCATTTTCTATTAACTAAAAGTGTGTAAGATAAAAAATCGTTATAATATTTTACTTCTGCCTTCCATTTTACAGACAGAAGTAAAGAATTATCAGTACCTTCTTTTGTGTGTATTAAGTTGCAAAATCTATTACGGATAAAGATACAGCGAACATCTAAAGATTTCAAAGTATTTAATAACAGCTCATAAATTATTTAGGAACACGAATTTTGTATAATTGTGTACGATATAGTTTATTTTTCTATTATCTGCTTTAAAAAATCTGGAAAACTTAAATTACTGATATCAAAGATAAAATTTATTTATTGATTTTGCTTTAAATAGCGTGTCGGATAATGTGTACCGAAAATTGATTATTTTTTATTTTAGATAATTATTGATCGAACATCATTCTTACAGACCTTCACAGAACTAACAATAAGGATATAATTATAGATTATTCACAGGATAATTTGCATGTTATTAATTAATTAATTATGAAATTATATATATATACAAAAAAAGTGTTTTAATTCTAAATCATCTCGAGACAGCTTAAATAAATCAAAAATAATTTAACGTGATAAATGATTAAACATTTATTCCGTTAATTTTTAAACTTTGAAAAATTAAAATCAAAGCAAAAGAAATAAAAGACTAAAAACCGTAGAATAATCAAGATTGCTTTAAACACGCTCTCACCTAACATGTCTTATCAAGACGTGTCCAAAATAATTTTAACTAAAAATCCCATGCTTATGAAATTATACAGCGATTCAGAATTATCTAATAGCAAACACTAAAGCAATTTAAAATGTAAAATGTCCTATGAAACTCTCTCGCTCTTTTTCTCTCACTAATACATATAGCATGTGTGTGCTTGTGAGTGAGTGCTAATTTTGTTGTTGGTGATGACTTGAAATATTACACCCAATTTTTTTTAATCTTAAGCGAGATGTTGTAGAGAGATGAACATTCTTACATTCTTACTTCGTATTTGTGTGCGAGATGTAGCTTGCACACGAATAGAATGAGTGATGGAAAAAGAAACTTGCAGACATTGAATACTTTGTCAATATGAGGACACATAATTCTATCTTCTTGAAGAATAATTTCTTAGGAAATAATTTCTTCACATTACTGTGGGTGCTACAAGCACCCAACAGCTCTATGTGCACTGATCACATTTTAAGTAATTAAAGATATAATTAATCGAGGAAACGTCAGCTACCCAGACCAGAGCAAAGAGAAAAAAGGAATGAGCACTTCAGCAAGGTATATAAATTAAATCGAAATTCCTCGTTTAAGTTTTGAATGGTGGGCGGCCAAATCGCTTAGAGCATTTCAGATCATTGCAGATGAAGGTAATAATTTTTTAATACAAAATAATACATAATTTTTGAAGAGAACGTAGCTAAATTAAAACCAGGAATAAAAAGGCCTACTTGCAAAATTAAGTTAGCAATAGTTAGTACTTTTCTTTCATATTTTATATCTTATATATATATATAGCTATATATATAAAAGGAAGAGTATTGTGCCCAGGCCTGCAAAATTTGGTACACAAGTGCATCTTGGCAAGCGCCAGTCCACCTCGAAGGCATTTTTACAAAATTCGAATGAGTGTTTTTTAATGTTTTTTGATGAAATCGCATCAAATCGATAATTCTCTCTCATTATATCAGAAATAATGGCACGCAGCCATTGTTGCTGATATATCACTATTGCCATTTGGAGCTGATATCAGCACTGTTGCCACTCGGAAAAATGAGGGCGATAATTCTGTGCAATTTTTAGATTGAATATTTCTCTTGGACACTGGACGTTTGTCGAGAGAAGCAACGGGAAATTGGTTAAATTTTTATTAGGATAATGAATATTTTTATTAAAGATATTGCTTATGTCATTATAATTTTTTAATATGTAATGCATTTTTATTGAAATTTGTGTTTTTTCTTTGTTTGTTTTTATATTCTTGTACGAAGTAAAGGAAGTATTGTAATCGTGAAAAATTTCAGGTACCATATTTCAAAGAAAATGTCCATTTTGACTGCTATCAAATGCAATTTAAAGATGTTGTTTTATAACATCTGCACCTATGGACAGAATAAAGGACTCTTTTCCCCAACAAAATTATACAACTGATTTAAAATAAATTCTGAAGAGATTTTTTCGTGGTTTTTGTCTGTACGTATGTATGTATATATCTCTCATAACTCAAAAACGAGCAGCCTCAGAATGTTAAAATTTTTGTATATAGGACAACTAGGATGTAGTTGTGCACCTCCCTTTTTGGTGGCAATTGGCCGCACCAAAAGTAAATATATATACATTTGCCCACTCTGTTAGTCGGCTCCGTGAGCTCAGTTTTTTTATTCTTATATGTTTGTAAATTGTACATATTTTACTTTAAAAATGCTTGAATTATGTTATTCTTATCTTCCGGTTAAGGTTATGTCTTTAGTTAAACTGCATTCAATATTTGCAGAATTAACAATTTAAAAGTTGTTTAAGTGCGGGTTAACCTAATTTTTGTTTACATTTGAAGGTGCTACTTTGGTAGACTGTTGCACGGATTTTAGCGATTTTTTGGCGATTTTTCTTTTGGCTAGTAATACAATTTATGGTAAACCCATTGCTGGATAAGTTATTTATGGTAGCCGATACTTAGTTGTCATTTTATTTAAAAAATAATGCGTTTTATTATGCATAAATTAAGTGTTTTAAATATTATTTATGGCTTCTAAATATTAAAAATCAATTTAATTTTGAATTTTTATTTGAAATAATTTTTTTTTTGTTTATCATATTCTATGAAATTTTATGTTGTGGATGATGTAATCGATGATGTCACCTTACTTTAAACGTAATTGGTTTTAATATGTATAAATTTAATCTAATGTTTTAAACATTATTT